TGCTGCTACAAGTAACCTGTACTCTTGGCTTAGATTAGGATCTCTACATGAAAATGAGGACAGGAAGATGGTTTGAAATCAAACAAGAAAGAGTCCAGAACACCAGAGTCAGCACAGACAAGGAAGCCCTAACCCATCAGGGACCTGTTGCACAAAGCCTTCAAAAGGAAAGGTAATGAATTCACTGATCTCCATTTGTATCTATTTTAAAATTTCATTTTCAATAGAATTAAATTCTAAAGTAGGTTCAGAGGGGATAATTTATGGCAATAATAATAATACATAAAATGTCAGGGGCTGGCTCCTGACAAGCAATGATGCACAGGTTAAGAGAAGCCAGATCCCACATGGCAACTGCAGTGTGAATCCTAGCACTGGCCCGCCCGAAACACGCCAAGCACAAGCAGGAGTGCTTAGGATCTGACAGGCTGAAGGGCTAGAAGGAGGAGAGTAGGGACTGTGGTGTGACTAGACACTGTGGAGAGTGCTCCCCCTTCTCTCATGTTCACTCTTAAGAGTACATACAAGCACTCTATCATGAGTTTTAAAAAAGTAATAATAACAACTTAAAAAGATTCTAAACTCCAAGTACCTAGTATGGGCCAGCAAGTGAACTACAGAGTACATGGTCTACAGGTTTCCTTTTGCTCTAAGATTTGTTAAATTCTTAGATACTGCTGACCACATAAAAATGAATCCTCTTTTTAATTTCAATGTCTCTTTCATTTAAGCTGTTATTCTTACTGCAGGAATAAACCAAAAAGATCTAAGCAAAATAACCCTGAGCTCAAGTTAACTATAAAGGAGTAAGAAATGACAGGGGAGAAATAATATTTTAATTTGATGTTTAGGAACTTGATTATATATTTTAAAAAGAACAGTTCTTATTTCATCCAGGAAAAATGTATTGACAGGCAGAGTGAGATTCAAAATATTTAACAGGCACAACCAAAAAGGATTCTGGCCATGGTATACCAGATAGACCATGGGCACAAATGAATGTTTTCCATTTTTTCAAAGAATTATACTTTATATATTTATTTATGTATACTTTATATATTTCCTTTCCAAACTGGGCTCTGGTAATTAGATATGGATTTATAGATCATTACTTGCCATATACGTCCAAGAAAGATGGAAGCAAGGCTAGTAACCCATTAGGAGGCACTATAAAATGAAAAGTGGCTAGCTCTGTAGCACGGCAGTTATGTACTGTGCATAAGGAAATGGATCCCAGTATAGCTGACTGCGGTTTGAATCCCGACTCACGCAGCTTGAAGAACACATTGGGCACATCGTGTGCATGCCAAAAATCCTGATAGGATGGAGGAATGGGAGAAAAAGGACGGAGGCACGATCACGCCCCACTGGGACATGCTTTCTCTCCTCTCTTTCTCTCTCTGGTGAGCACACATGCCTCCTGGCAATATAAATAAATAAATGAGTGAAATATAAAGGAAATAGAAGTAAATTTTAAAAACCAACAGAAAGAAATGATGCCAGTGAGTTTTAAAAACAGTTTTTAGGGATCAGCAGATGGCAAAGTGATTACATCACGGGACTCCCACATGGCCGACTGTGGTTTGAGTCCCAGATCCGGTGGCTTGAAACTCACACTGGGCGCATGTGTATGTGTGTCCATGCCAGGAGGAAAGTGGAGAAGAACGGATAGCAGCAAGGCCATATCCCCCGGGGGGTAATTTCTCCCTTGCCCTCTCACTGTCTCTGTCTCTCCAACAAACACACATGCCCTATGGCAAAATCTCTTTAAGAAAAAAAACAAAACAATTTTTAAATGCATCAAATACATAAAGATATTTTAAATTTTTAAAATGCATTTGAGTATAGCAGCATTATAGGATAGGCTGTTCTGAGCTTTGCAACTGTCTAAATAAGTTGCAACTCCAAGTACATCCAAGGAAACGGAGCTTGCAAGAGCCATACAACTGCAGATGTCCAAGAGGGAAACAGAAGGCTCTGGCACATTATGGTCCAGACTGGAAGACTGCAAAGTCCTTCTGCCATGTCCTTCATCCAAGCCAACACTGTAGAGATCACAATCAATTTTAAGAAAATCGAGATGCGCACATAGGCAAGGTATTCTTGGTCTCCTTTCTCCTTGGATTCAGGAGTTTAAAATGGCACAAACCTATATAAACAGAACATTTATGATTCCTAAGATGATAAACTTATTTAAAAAGTTGAACTCCAGGGACCAGCAGATGACATAATGGCTATGTAGCTATGGACGTCCATGTAGTTGACCACAGTTCAAATCTTGGACCTGGTGGCTTAAACTCACGTGGGCATGTGTGCGTGTGTGCTCATCCCCCCTGGGGTATGATTTCTTACTTTCTGTCTCTCTGTCTCTATCTTTCTGGCGAGCGCAGGGTCCATATGGGATGGAGAAATGGGGGGGGGGGTAACTGCAGTGTGACCAGACCAGATTCTGTAG